CTTGGTTTTGTGACTGTTTGACTGTTAGTTGTCCATTTAATCCTCTAAAGTATAGCTTGTGAGAGTAGTAACCTTGTCTTTTTCGATCACGGCTATATCGTATTTGTTTAATAATAGTAAACCAGTAACACTACACTGGAACTACAGTGAATCAGGCACTATTCTAAACATTGTGTGAGGGGGCTGGGGATTTAGCTCAGTGGCACAGCACCTACCTGGCAAGCGCAAGGTTGTGAGTTCGATTCCCAGTACCGGAAAATAAACATTGTGTGTGTGAGATGTCTTTGATCCAACAACCCCATGATAATCTGAGGCAGAAGCATAACAGCTTGCACAAGGCCAACAGCTAGTATGTGGTGAAGTCAGGATTTAACCCAACACTACATGGTTGTAGTGTTGCACGGAAGTTCATACTTGCATCTTCACTTCATGTATATTATCTTTAAAATTCCTCAAACATATTTTTTAAAAGCCAATGAATATTTACTACATACCAGCCATCTTCCTTTGTTCTGGGATTGAGCTATGAGTAAAAGAGGTGAGGAATTATTAAACACTTTCTAAATGGATGGATGGTTTAACAATGGATGGATGGAAGGACAAAGGCACAGATGAATGGATGGAAGGTATATGGGTGGATGGAAGAACTGATGAATGAATGAAAAACAAGGCAGGATTCAAATATGTGGAAAGGGTCCACTAAATATCATGGGTAAGGCATCAACTGAAGAAGCTATGAGTTTCTCTTGCTGCATCGGATGGCAATCTGTCAGCAGAATGTGTAAGGGCTCTAGGATTATAAAGCCTGGCTCCATGGCCTGGAGATGTACTTCAGAGGTAGAGCACTTGCCTAGAAGCCAGGCTCCATCCCTCTACCAACTGTGTGAATTGGAGCAAATCACTCAACCCCTTGGACCTGTTTCCTCACTTATAAAATGAGTATAACCCCAGCTATTCACATCAGTGATGTGACCTAAATGTTATTTGCTATTGTTTGGAGACCAGTTCAAACATCATCTCTTTTCTGTAGCTTTCAGTCCAGTTCAGTTCAATTCAACTATTTGACTTGTGCCTCTTAAACAGATTTTGTGCGGGAGCTAAAGGTGTAACAGCAAATTAGACAAATACAGTCCTTCTTGCATTGAAATAGGTATGAGTGTTGAGGAGAGAGAAGTGTGTGACAAGGGCAAAATGTGCCTTTCCTCCTTGATTTTCCTGCATTGCTTCACTTGGGTTGGCTACTGTAGTATACATTTGCTTCCTCTTTCAAACATGGCTCCTAGGCAACTACATGATGTTCACAGAAGAAATAACCGCACCACATAGATAGATACAAGGAGGGAGAGAACTGGGAGGCAATAAAGGCATAGATAAATGGGCACAAAAAGCTGAAGCGGTGATCTGTTGGTAAGTGGGAATGGTCAGGACTTTACAAGAGCCAATTCCAGGAGCACATTGTGAGCCCATGTCCACAAATGTAAGAAACGGAAGAAATAAAAATATCGAGTCAAAATTGAGCAACACCAGAAACTTCAAATGAAAAGACAAGAATGAGATGAAAAACAGCTCTCAACTCTAGGGGACACTGCTGGTAAAAGGAACTCTTTAGACAGCTAGACCCAGCAGGACAATTTACCAGGACAACCGTGGTATATTGAAAAATGGTCACCAATGTCTCCTGTCCTTAGAGATACATGCTTTTACCACTTGCCCTTGCAGTTCATCCCACAAAAGAAAAACCAATTTATTCATCTAATCTTGAAACTCGGCCTTGTCCAGGAGACTTGCTTGGTCCCTGGGACAACAGCAGAGGTAACAGCAGGAGAGTCTGAGAAGCAGTTCTAATCAGGGGATTGCTCTCTCTTAATTGGGGGATTGCTGGTTTGGAAAACCCCATCACCACTCCGTTGTGAACTTTCAGACTACCTAAGCATGACAGACCCATGGCTGAGTCAAACCTATTGTCTCGGCTGGCACAGAGTCAACTTCCAGGTAGGACTTGTACCAACCTATAGCAGGCAGCCCCTGCTAAGCTGTCAGCTGACTCTGCAGATCAGCTGAGGGGACCTTTCATCTGAAGACCCATACAGCCAGTCATGGAACCATGAAAAGTAAGAAAATTATTTTCAGCCACTAGTTTTAGGCTCACATGTTATATGTGTTATATTCTCACTGAAAAACAGGGACCCATGACTTCCAGCAGACTGAATGAATGTGCTACTGTGGATAAAGCCCTTCGTTATTGTCTAACCTTGAAGCAGAGAGATAATTCTGGGGAAAGAAAAAACCCTTCCCACCAGTATAAGCACAAGTTAACCACTCTGAAACTAGAGAGAAAGCTTGCATACAAACACAATATACAAGGGCCCTGCCCCTATCTGGGTAAGTGATCATATAAGGGACTAGAACAGAGTTAGGTCGAACTGGGCTATTTTCAATCACCACCCTCCATTACCACTGTCCAGCTTTCTATCCCTGGTCTCACAGAGTAGAATAAATACAGGCTTACACCCTCATTTTTACACACCAGGCTGAACAACGACATCACATCAATGTTGTCACTGGAAAGTACTGAGCAGGAAGTGCATCATGATATTTGTCTGACCTGAGCATGAGTCTTGGGCCAGAGAAAATCTACCCAAATACTGCTTTACAGCATCCAGTAAGAAGGAACGGCACCTATAGGAACTCCTAACCATATTGAAAAAGTCAAGACATAGTGCTGATTTCATTAATTTCTCTGTAGTTCAATTTCTTTGCTAGGAAAATGAGACAAACAGTAGTTGCTACTGTGCAGGGTTGTTTTAAGGATGAACTGAGATCAACTTGTATATATGCAAGTAATTGGTTCACCACCGTAATCACTCCATGTGTATATGGCATTAATTTTAGTATCTTCTCCCTCACCCCTGTCATCATCCTACACTCTTGACTCTAACAAGCCCCAAAATAGGCTTCTCAGAGTCTCTGCACAGGTAACATAACTGACGGGCAGTTGTAGACTGAAGACTCCACTAGCCTTGCCAAACTTTCTAAAGCTGAGTCTGCGGTCCTTCTGCACAATCCCCCTTCCTTCGCCCTCTCCTTTGGGAGAGTCAGACCCACATTGCAACGTGAATGCAATCTCCCTGTCACCTCCACTGCCCCCACTTTCTTTTCCCATTGAAGCATTCTTCCAAATTTTCTTGAAAATCTCATCTGATATTGGCACTAGCTGCTGCTTCTGGAAGCCTCAAACTAAGGTGCTGATGTGCACTGCACTCTATGCATGTTCCTCGATTTCCTCTGCTGCCTGTAACTCCAGGCAATATGCACCTCCACAACAAAACAGCTAGAGCCTGAGACCCAGGCTCTCCTTTCTCTACGGAACAGGAGAGACCAGGAAGAAGCATCATGTATCTGTCAAATACCCTCCATCTTCTTGCTTCTACCTTAAGTACACCTGGGCTCTCACACTTCTCCCGACCCCACTGCTACTGTCTTGGTCCGGGACACTATCCTCCTTGCTGGACTGTTGCTGGACTTTCCTAGCTGATCTCCCTTGTATTCTAGCTTCTCTCCAAACTACTTTATTAAAACTAACGATCCTATTAAAGGCAAGTCAGACTACATAACATCTCTAATCCCTGTCTTCCAAAGTAGTTTTCCATTTCACTCCATTTCACTCAGACTAAAAACTCAAGTTCTCACAACAGTCTAAGAAACTCACTCCCACCTTATTACCTGATTATTCCACTGTCTCCATTGGCTTCTTTTCCTTTCTAATCTTCAGCCTCAGGTAGGGGCTTCTTTTCTCCCTTGTTTTTATACAGATGCTCTTGAAGACAGTCATTTGATTCACTCTCTGGTCTCCAAAATCTTTACCCAGATGTTCCTTTCTTACTAAGGCACCCACTGGCCACCCTACCTGAAATCTGAAACTTCCTCATTCAATATTTTGTTTTAGTTTTTGTTATCTTCATCACAACCATGACTACGTAACACAGTTTGTATTTTACTTATCTGAGATATTTTCCATCTCTCCATAATAAAACGTGAAATTCTGTGAACAGGTAATTGTGGTTATTTTATTCACAGTTACAGTGGCAATACCATGTGGCCAATATAAGATGGATGGATGGCTGTATGGAAGTCTGGATAGAGGGATGGAAAGATGAATGGCAGGAAGCTGAGAAAGGGCTCTCCAGGGGCTGGAGGTGTTGTGAGACTGATACATGCATAAGCAAATGGATACAACAGCGACACAACTGATGCCCATGGGAAGAGAATCCATGGCTTTACTCTGCAATCCTCCTGCTTAGATTCAACTGAATTCATCCATCAGGCTGGGTGCTGAGTGTGACAATATAAAGTTGGGAGGCCTGTTGCTTCTACTTGTTCACAATATGCCAAAGACAGAAATAAGCACCCCAGAAAGGACTGAAGAATTAGAATGAGACGGCCACGTATCTGAATCTTGGTCCTGCCTAGTCTTGGCCAGGTTATTTAGGCCCTGTAAGTCATCTTTACTTCATATTTAGAAATAAGATAACAGCGGCTGGGGATATAGCTCAGTGGTACAAGCATCTGCCTATCAAGCACAAGGTTCTGAGTTCGATTCCCAGTACAAAAAAAAAAAAAAAAAAGAAAGAAGATAACAATATGTTAGGATAGCAACAGAGGTGTTCTGAGAATTAAAGAACATATGTAAATAGTGTAACACTTAGTCTAGAATTCAGCAAATGCTAATTATTCCTAGGGATAAATTATTCTGCATTTTTGCTTTCCCATCTGGTTATTGATACGGCCTGCTGATAAGGATTTCTGGGAGGGTACTGGGCTGATATCAGTAACGATTAGGAAATAGGAAACAATTGCATAAGTGTTAGCAATGCCGCCATCCTTACTGTGAGAGAATGGTGCATTCTGAAGACACCTGATACACATCCAAGATCCCCCAGTGAGACTGGGTTAGCAATTCAATTCCTAAGCCCTTTTGTATATATTTATAACATGGGGATATTTATTTATTTTTGCATCTAAAATAAGACAAAAAGAAGTCATACAAGTTTCTCAAAGTTAATAAATGTGCGAGTTACAAAACTAGGATCTGAATCTGCCTTCACATCAATGGCCTCTTGATTCCAAGGCCCATCGCCAGCTCTGGCAGGCAAAGCTGCCACAGCCTGCCCCTCTCCCCTTGTGAAGAGAGGGATGTTATTTCCCCCTCCAGGCTCTCTCTGTGACCCTGCACAACCAATGCTGTTTTTCCACGGAGAGAAAATCACCAGCCTGGTCCCGGGGGCTGTAACTCGGCTGCAGCCTGTCCTGCTCCCCAGGAGCAGATGGCTGCCTCTGAAGCCATCTTTCATTTAGCTCCATCCTGGTACCCCAGGAACTTTCAGTAATTACCTCTATCATTCTTACATTAAATAAGAGTGAATAAATCAAGATTCCCAAGGCATGGGATGAGAAGGAAGCACACCCAGACACACACGCACACAAGCGCTGAGATGCCACAGAGAGTTTTAGAGGCTGTGACACAGACAAAGACAATCTCAGGGCATCATCCTACCCAGGCACCTGCCTACATAGAAATCTTCTCATCCAATTTTCTTCCAGGAATATACAGTGTTTTATGAACCTCCTCACCCCCACTTTCCCTGCAAAACCATGGCAGGGGGCAGGCAACAACTACAGCGACAAGGGCAAAATATGTTTCTCTGAATTCCTAACACATTTTTAAAATTGACAATCTGAATTACAACACTTGCTCCTGAAAGAAGTAACTCAGGAGGAGTTTAGCCTCCGGAGGAAATGCGAGGTTTTTCTTGTTTGGTTGAATTGTGAACCTTTTCAAACTGATGTCTCACCAAACGGTCTCTGTTTATGAAATATTTTCTCCTGCAACTTAAACAGTGGTTGAGTTTCTCTTTCCTTGAAGACGACCCCGAAGCCTTGCAGGCTGTCGCTCTGTGTCAAGGTGCTCCTGGCTGTCTGCTGCAGGGTGGAAAAAGGGACATCTGTTGTCAAGGCCCGGACTCCTACGAAGGGAGGGAGGAGGAGGAAGCGAGAGGAGCAGGCTGTGAAGCCTGCTGTTACAGCCAGATTTAGTACCCTACCATGAATCTTCAATGTTTAAAAAAATCGGCTTTGTGGCATAGAAGTTTCTGCAGTTGCCGAAGTTCTGAACCCGCGCTCTTCCCTGCAGAGCATTCCAAAGGATGAAGCTGGTCCTGGCTCTTCCGGTCTTGGTAGCACTGCACGTCATGGGGGACGCAGGGAGAGGCAGACATGAGAGGAGAAGAAAGACAAACAAGGTGGATGTAGATTTTGAGTAGAAATATTGGTATCTAACGTAGACTATCCTCCCAGCTTTATTGTCTTATTTTCCTACTATCTCAAGAGAACACTATGGGGAATGTGTATCTACGTATCTCTATGCCTACCTTCCTGCCTGTGTCTGTCCACCTGCCAGCCAACCTATCTATCATCTATCTATCATCTATCCTCTATTATCTATCATCTATCTATCATCTATCCTCTATTATCTATCATCTATCTATCTATCTGTCTATACTTGATCTTAGCCAGAAGGCCGAGAAGCGATATATCTATCCACCTACCTACCTACATACCTGTGTCTGTATCTCACAAAGAGGAAGACTGGAGCACAAAAACACACTAAGTTCCTGATATATATCAGACTGAGAGGCTGAGTCATTTGCTTGTACATGGGTGAGGAGATTAACTCAGTGCTTCTAACTGCATTCAGTATTTTTATTCAGGACCTCACTGACTTAGTATTTCTTAATCATAACTACAAACAATTGCAACATTCATTCAACTTACATTTATTAAGGCACCTGTTATGTGCAATGACCTATGGCTAGTGAAAGTAATAACAGCCAAGTCTCAAGGATTAAAAATACCGTGTGTGTACTCAGCACTCTGTTTTGTGTGTGTGTGTGTGTGTGTGTGTGTGTGTGTGTGTGTGTGTGTGTGTGAAGGTGAACACTGATTGTACAAAGTCAGAGTAGAAGTGCAATAATGTAGCGCATATTTGGATTTTAAAGGATTTTAAAGTCAGTCTCATTTATTTCACTTATGAATATGGTCTCCAGTTGCATCCATTCACCTATAAAGCCCTGAGTTTATCTTTCTTTAGAGCTCAGTAATACTCCATTGTAACCTGAGTAAATAAAATCTAAAAGGTACAACAGATAATGTGAAAAGGAAAGAAACTGCTCAAAAGGAAAGAATAACTGGGATGAGGAAAAGAGAAAAAAAAAGAAAGGAAGGAAGGAAGGAAGGAAGGGAAAAAGGAAAGAAGGAAGGAAGGGAGGGAGGAAGAACCATATATATATGTATATATATGTATACATATATGCATAAGATAGCTAGGATAGTTGTGCTGCTAATTTCCATTGGTTTATGGAAAGGAACAGTTAATGTTTAATTGTTTGATCAATCTTGCATGCCTATATTTGGTAATCTGAGACACTACTTTGAAGATAACAATATGTAATACAACAACCATTGTTAATTTTCTATCATCTTGTTTTAAAATTCTGTATCGCTTTTATTGTTTGTTTGTTGTTTTGCTTTTGTCTTTCTTTTTTTTTTTTTTTGTCTTTTTGAGACAGGGTCTCGTTATGTAATTGAGGCTGGCCTTGAGCTCACTTCGTAGCCCAGGCTCGTCTTGAACTCACAACAATCCTCCTGCCTCAGCCTCCTGAGTGCCGGGATTATAGGGGTGCACCACCACACCCGGCTTCATGTCTTTGTCTTTCTTATCTTGTTTCTGTTCTTTTCCCTTTAAAATAAAATTTAAAATAGTAATAGTAATAAAAAGCCAGTCTCACTACTCACTAGCACAGGATAAAAGCTATTCATGGATCACTGTACGGCATCAGACCCACTTCTTAGAGATTCAAATCCAGCAGTTAACCGCACCTCTGCCCTTGCAGTTCCACAACCCAGGAGAAGTGGCTGCACTGGTTGCTCCTGGCAGCAGGGTTATTACCTTTTTATTGTGTTCCTTCTCCAAACCCTGTCTGACACTATCCTCTGCGAGTCCTCACTCAAACTCTGGGGAAATTCATGCACACTGTGGACAGGGGCCATCCCTCTGGAACCCAGGGCTTCGGGCCCAGGGCAGACAGAAGATGCAGGGTTTGATGGGCCTTCTTTAATCTCAGCAGGTGTTATGATTTCAAAGATCAATTTTATTTTAAAGTTTGCTTTAATTCTGGCAAAGAAAAGACAATGTAAGTTGGATACGTCTTTCTGCGGTCTGATGTGATTCAGTCCCGCTTCTCCTCTACGTCAATGGACAGAAGGGTCACATAGGGTGCTCCACCTTCTCATAAAGTGACAACCATGAGACTCAGAGATAGGGGCCAGGGATACACCTCAGTGGCACAGCGTCTGCCTGGAAAATGCAAGGTCCTGAGTTTGATTCCTGGTACCAAGAAACAAACAAGTGAAAAAACACCTCAGATAGGACAGTGAAGTATGATACTGATTATTAAAATCCTTCAGCAAGATCCCAGATCTGGAACAACAGATCATGCTGCTTCCTTGGAAGTGAATGTTATTTTTAATATGGAAGAGCAAGCCCGCTAGGCACAAACTGTGTCTCTTAATCTTCAGTAAGAATCATATACTACTTAAAAGTACAAGTTAAATTCAGTTCATGACATAAATGCAGCCTGAATCATGAGCCATGTCTATGGGCAGAATTGTTTCCCCTGACCAACTCATACATTCAAGCCCTAATTCTGGTTTCTCACAATATATCTGTATTTGGAGATGGAACCTTTAAAGGGCTCGTGGAGTTCTTTATATAGTTTGAATATTAACCCTTTCTCAGATGTATGGTTTGTAAACACTTTCCACAATTCCACAGATTGGTATACATAGTCTACCCATAAGGCCCCATGGAGTTGAAAGGAATGCCCACATAAAACCCTGCACTGGGACTTTTGTAGCAGTTTTACTTATAATTCCAAAACTTGAGAGCAACTGGGATGTCTTTCAGTGCATGAATGGCTAAATAAACTGTGGCATATTCAGGTAATGGAATATTACTCAGCTCTTCCAAGCCATGAAAAGACACTGGAGGAACTTTCAATACATGTTGCTCAGTGAAAAATAAAAGTCAATCTGAAAAGGCCACATACAATAGGATTCCAACTACATTAGGTCCTGGAAAAATGCAAAATTATAAAGACAGTAAAAAAAAGTCGGTGGCTTTCATGGGTTAGGTTAGGATAGACTAATTTGAGGGCAGTGAAACTATGTTGCATGATACAATAAGGATGGATACGTCACTGTGGGCTTGTCCAAACTCACAGAGGTACATCTCCAGGAGCAAACCCTGATGTACACTGTGGACTTTGGGCCATTACGGTGTGTCAGTATCAATTCATCAACAATAACAAATGTACCACTCCAGTGGAGGATGTTGGTAAAGAGGGAGACAAAGGGAGGGGCAGGAAGGACACAGATATTCTCTGTACTTTCCTCTAATTGTGATGTGAACCTAAAATGCTTTTCAAAGATTAACTGTTAAAAAATAAAACACGCAACACAAGCCAGATGGAATAGTTCACATCTGTATCCTAGCACTCTGGACCCTGGAAGGTTATACAGGAAGATCACAAGTTTGAGTCCTGCCTTAGGTCAGGAAGATAATATAGGTAATAGCCCCCAAATCCTGCTATATGCCCTCTCAAATAACTTGACCATGGTCTCACTTACTGGTCAGGTGCAGTGGTGCACACCCGTGATTTCAGCACTATAAAAGGATGAAGCAAAAGAATTACAAGTTCAAGTCCTGCTTAAGAAACTTAGTACGATCCTGTTTCAAATTTTAAAAGGGATGTAACTCAATGTAAAAGCCCTGAGTTCATTTCTCTGTAGAAGTGTGTGTGTGTGTGTGTGGGGGGGATGCTGCCAGAAGTTGCGAGAACTTGAAGTAATTGATTTCTTGCTTCCATTTTACACTCTGACTCCTAAACAACACAGTTTAGTTTTGCCATCAGTAGGTAGAATATATTAGAAAAGCAGATCTTAAATCTGGTTTAGTGTCCTGGTCCTGCATTTACTAGGTACCTTCTTTTCCTCTCTCTGTCTCGGTTTTCTTAACTATGAAATGAGGATGGTATACAATTCCCTCATGATAGGACCGTGAGAATTAAATGAGATGATACATGTGAATTGTCCTGATTGGCTTAGCGCTCATGTCATGGTTATTTGCAGCTATTCTCTTCTGTACTTTCTGTCTTGCCAGATATATATATTTCTTAAAACTGCTAGTCCATTAGAAATACAGAGAAGACTGCATTAATATCAGATGTTAAAACAAGGTTTTGCTTTCTCCCCTCAGAACCAACAAAACAACACTTTTTAAAAAATAAATTTATGGAAAGCACAAGGAGGTGTGTCAGGTCTACGGAAGGAGAATGTGGGAGCGAGCCCCACACTGAAGGAAATGACTGTTGTGTAGCAATGAGTAGCTCTGGGTTCCAAACCCAAAGAAAGAAACAGGAGAAGTGCCAGGTCTCCAGGGCATTCGCAAGTTAGAAAATTAAGAAGTTATATTCAGAGCAATCAGACATAAAGAGAGAAGACACAGAGACAATGTTCAAAGCACTACAGATACGAGTGAGAATTGTTGAAGTGATAACATTATGTAAAATTCATCCAACAAGTTGGGAAATTCATGCAAAATGAATGACTTCTTGAGAAAATATAATTTACTGAAATTGACTCAAAAAGAAGTAGAAAACTTGAGTAGACCAATAACCACTGAAGAAATTGGAAATGCTGTGAAAAGAAAAAATACTCAAAACAAGATGCTGGTGAAAGCAATTTGGGAAGAGCTATTAAAATTAAAAACACTCGTACTTTTCCTCACTGACATCCCACTGCTGAGAGTCCATCAAAGGAAAAGAAAGCACCAGTACCACAGAATGTGAGTTATGGCTGTTAATGCAGACGTGTTTGTAGAAAAAATACAAAAACCAAAACCAGGAACTTGAGAAAATGCCCCAACACAGAAAGTAATTGTCATGGTTTGGGGGACATTGCAAGGGAAGAACATAATACAGGATACATATTTTATAAGATTATTTATGATAGTCACTCAAAGAATGATATACAAGAGAGTACAGGAAATCTGTCCACACACTATAGGCCAGGAATCCAGCTGAGGGCCTGGATCCCGTGATAATTTCCCATGTGAGTCCAGCTG